GCCGTAAATAAACAAACAAGATGGCTGTTATCAGTAAGCAAGATTGAGGTTATGCACATCTTACATCCTCCTGTGATAAAGGTGAAAGACGATTTAACAATGTTTTCATGTGTTTTTCGTGTGTTATTCGTAGTAGAGTACCTGTATAGCGAGAGTATGGACAGATCGCTTCATGGAGGGCTTAGGGCCCAAAAGTGCAGCCACCCTTCTAACCAACTTCTAACGCACAAAATTTCACTGCCAGTCTTTAGATTCCAATTCTAACGATGATGGCTAAGAAAGTACATAAATGAGCGTTCTTCCACAAAAATGAGTAAATTTATGCAAAAACTAAATCAAATACGTGCTGTATAAACGATGGTTCGTAACAATTGTATTAATAAATCGCTCTGGATAATTGAAATTCTTAGATTGGCTGTCTTTCTGGGCCCTAACTTTATTCGTGGAGGCATCGGTGAAGGCCTTATATGGATTACCGGAGTTTCACATCTGTCTATACTCTATACAGGTACTCTAATTCGTAGATATGCTAGTTTAAATTGTTACTGCCGTATGATTGATATTTTTGTCAAATTTAGCTTCTTATCGATGTTACGTGAGTCGCCATCTTGTTCGTTTATTTACGGCCGTAAGAGCATCATTGGAGTCCCTTTATAGCGTCCAGCCCACGTACAAACTGGGGCTCTCAAACTGGCACTAATTCTTCTATTTCTCAGCCATTTCTGCACGGAATGCCTTGAAAATTTCAAGATCTGATCTGTGATGTATCCCGAACACATCGGTTACCCTCAAAGATCGTCGGCCCGACTAGAGTACCTATATTGAGAGAGTATGGCCACTGCGCCCCATGGAGAGGCTTAGGACCCAAAAATGGCGGTGCTTTGTTTTGGTTTTTGTGGATGGAAGGAGGGTCATTGCCAACTTTTGACGGTTATCACCAACCGTACTTGCTGCCAACCTTACTACATCTAAGATAATTTTTCTCAAAAATTGCACACGATTAGCCTTAAAAATATGTAAAGATGTCGCAATAGTGCATTTGAGTAAATTTCTCGTTACGATAAGCAAAGAAATCTACATTTTGAGTCATTTTGCATTACATTAATTTATGGCGTCCGCCATTTTTTGGTCCTAAGGGCTCCATTTAGCCTAAGATGGCTAAGCCAATCAGAGGTGGTAACCCCAGTGGCCATACTCTCTCAATGTAGGTACTCTAGGCCCGACGATCTTTGAAAGGCAACAGTCAACAGTTCCATCGATGAGCCTCTTTGAGGCCCCTAGTTTAAGCCCCACCTACACGGTGAAAGTGGACCTTAATATTGGCTTAATGTGGGAGTCACCGATGCGTTGTTGAGCGGTGAACCTTAATATTCGCCGGGCCGACGATTATTAAGGCTCACCGATAGTATTCTGAATCAACGATCACCATCCTCTGCCATCCTCTGGAGGATTGCTCTGTGTTTGGTTTTCTCCCGGTCGTGTAGTGTGGTTAGTGGAGTTTTTTTATTCGTTTTCGCATGCGTTTCGCAATTTTCAGTCATTAAAATGTCTTTCATCGATAGGAACAAGAACGTGAAGAGAACGGTCCTACTTAAAATTATGCCCAAGCCGAGTAAATCATGCAGGGAGTTGCTAGCAGGTAGAGCTGGTGTGCACGATGACAAATCCACGAGGGTAGTGGTTCAGCCCAAGGTGGGCTGGACGCTGGACGCTTGAAATACTACTGAGAGTCAAGACAACACCCCCTCATGGAGTCACAAACGGGAATAAAGATTACACAAATTGACAGTTTTGCCTTTTGCGTAATCTTTGATAGGTTCATTCTTAAATTCCTTCTGTTCCTTCTCTCATTCCGTTTGTTCCTTGTCGAACCCGTTTTTGCCGGGGTATCCGACCGTTGGACTTGGCGATGAATTCGCGGAACACCCCATTGTTTACGTTCCCCATTGGCGCGTCGGCCCATGCCTCGCCGAGAATAAGTTCTCGCGCTGTAGATCTCACACTACGCACCGCTGTAGATTCACCTTAAGGACAATGGGTATAAATCTCAAACAAAGTAACCTAACCTAACTTCCAATTGACCAACAAAATCACACCGCCAACGCGACGACGCCGTATACTCTTCCACTACGCATTCCGCCTCCATATTGATCGTGACGTGTACATTCGAAACCAACGAGTGCGCGGTTTAAACGCCGTTTTAGGCTATCCTAATGTTTGGCACTTTCAACTTTTCTCCCGTTTGCAGTCATCAAAAAACATTAGGAAAAAAAAACTGTAAGCTTCGGTCACTTACTACTTTCGAATGACACAATAATAAAAATGACTTAACTGACTCATTATTAATTATACCTTTGGAGGTCTGAAAGCGTTTCGGATTATGCTATTATTAAAGCTGCAATATTATGCTACTCTACTGAAGGTGCCAGAAACAAAGAGGGGGCAAAAAGGGGAGTTAAGAGAAAAAAAACCCCAACCTAACATCTAAACTAAACGAAATCATTTGTAACGCACGAATTATTTAGGCTTGGGGTAAAAAATGTCAAAATTTAGAATCAATGTTTCTAGGCGTTTCTTAGCCTCCTGAATGTATCCCCAAAAGTGTCAATAAATTTCATGAAATTTCGTGAAAGGACGACGGACCGGTCTTATGGGAAAAGTGGGCCCGGTTAATTCGGCTGCGCTTTTGATATGTTGTAGGTCTTAACCTACTGATCAAAAGTGTCAGTGGGTGTTTCTTCCTATCTCGAAGTTTTACCCCCCATTTTGGGGGTCAAAATTGCCAATTCGGCGTATAATTGGTAATTTTTACATCCAGGTTTGTTGGTCGCCTATAAGATTCTGAAATGGTTTTTTGAGTCTATTGTATCCTCTGAATAGGCTAGAGACCATCCGAATTCAAAAACTGAACAATTGCGCCTTATGGGGAAGGGGGGGGGGTT